AAGGTTCCATCGTAGAGAATGAATCGTTTTGGTAAAAAATCCTAACAATCAAACAGTAAATTCTAAAGCAATCTTCCGAGAGGCAACTTGATGCTTGGGCAAAGTGCACACCTTCAGTTTTTTTTTTTTTTTTGATAAGGACTTATGAGAATGTCGCTATATTTTTGCGAGTCTCACCAATGTTAGAGCAAATCCAGCCTTGTAATAAACTTGGATAATTTGTGTTTTTATTTCTGGTATTTCTACAGCTCCTTCAGAGGCACCGTACAACATTCAGCTTCACATGGTGAATGCAACTACTTTAAATGCTATTTGGCAAGATGTGCGTTTTATTCACCAAAATGGCATTATTCTGGGTTACCGTGTTCGCTTTCACCATGCAGATGGCGGTCTGCTATTGTGGAACATGACCGTTAGACCAGACGTCCATGATTTCCTTTTCTCTAGTCTTTCGATCTTCCAGAATTATTCGGTACAGATGCAGGCTTACGCCAGAAAAGGTGATGGGCCGTGGAGTAACAAAGTATATCAGTTGACGGATGAATCAAGTAAGTGAAATGGCGGCGTCAGAATTTATCAGTACATGGCCTCTCCATGCTATATTGCTATATTGCCAACAAATGGGTGATAAGGTGAGATGCCTTGTAAAGGCATGTTCAGGATGAAAATTAACATTAAGATCGCGTGGAGCTCGAGCTAGCCTGCTCCAACAGTCCAAAAATATTTTTAGCCTCAGCTCGGCGAGTTTCATTCCAGGATTCGTAACCTGGACTCGGTTTTTGTACTAAAGTAATTCAGGAAACAAACTATTTCTTTTCCTTAATTTTTTTTATGTTTTTCTCTTCATTTCCAGCCCCTATAAATTCTCCTGTCAATCTGACAGCTTACAATGTCAGCTCACGGGAAATTAAAGTTCTTTGGAACTACAATGATAACCCTAGACTGGTTCTTGGCCGCTTGCAAGGTTTCACACTGTATTTTCAGGAGGCCAATGCCAGCGATATTTTCCCAGAAGAGGCAAACTTAAAAACTTTTGAAACTCGTAACAAAACTCTGCGAAGTAAGATCGCCGCAGAATTGAATATATACCGGCTATACAACATTACTATAGCAGCTCGGACAGCCAAGGGTACAGGTCCCACGAACGAGTCATTTGTGGTCCGAACTCACGGTGAAGGTTAGTTGAGTCAACTTAAAGTTTCAGCGCTCTTAGTTGGATCCTTGTTTAATTAAGTTCTAGCTCTCATATTCTTTCAATGCTGTTACTGACGTTTTCTCGAAGAAGCCACTTCTCCACATGTGCACCTCGAAGACTACACTAATCATTTTTCGTATTCTTCATATTCAAACCGGTAAAATATTCTGACAAGTAAAGACTCACGATGCCTTCCGACATTGCCTTATTACACCTCGGAACTCATGTAGGTTCTCTCGCACAGCCCTGAATTGATTTAAACTTGATTGTGAGCTACAGGCCTTGGTACATCTCTTTTTTCTGTCTCCCGTGGTTAGTCCCTGGCGCTTCCCCCCAGGCTCTCACTGCCTACAACACAAGTAAGTCCAGCATATATGCCCGATGGCAGGAGATAGTGGAAGACAAACAGCATGGAATCATGCTGGGATACAAGCTGTTTGTATACGAGTTAACAGGTAATGGTTCAAAAACTGTGGAAAATCGCACTTACGGGTTGGATAAAGTGGAGACCAACTTCACAAGACTAAAGATATTCACCAAATACAGGATAGCGGTTCTGGGGTTTAATAATTATGGAGACGGTCCGATTGTGGCTGTGGATTTGTTTACTGAGGAGAGCGGTAAGTAGAAGTTGAATCTTTATTTAGTGTATACTAGTACTCTTCTGTCAAATTAATCGAAGGTCCAGTTATGGCTATTCAGTTGCCCGAGGAAATACCTATATATATGAAAGTGAAATAGAAATAAAGGAACAGCCAAACATACCAAATGACTGACTGATAGATGAACGGACGGGCCCACGGAAGTTCTAAGGGACTAAGTGACGTTTTAACTTACTAACTGACTGACTGACTGACTAAATGAATGGCTAACTAAATGACTAACTCACTGAGTGACTGACTGACTTACTACCTTACTGATTGACTGGCTTACCCACGTACTGACTAACTGACTTACTGACATACTGACTCATTTATTGACTGACAAAACTACTGACTAAATGACGATCTTACTGAGTGACTTACTGACTGACTCTCTAAGTGATTGACTGACTGACTGACTAAATGACAGACTAACAGACTGACTGGCTGGCTGACTAACCTACTCAATGACCTACTCACTAAGTAACTGACTGACCGATTGACTGACTGACTGAATAACTGGTTGACTGACTAATCGTTCCACCGACCGATTGATCTAGTGACCAGGTGATAATGTGAGTAACAGTTCATTTTTCCTCTCAGAATTAGACAAAGATAATTTATCTGTTGCCTTCCACAAACAAAAAGAATTACTTTTGTGATCCTCCTGATTTTTTCTTGAAGTTCTCTGAGACATTTGTGTGAACCAAAATAACTGTACTATCTGGCCGACTCCTCTTATGGCTGCCTTTCACCAAATTGACTTACTGGAGAACGGTCGACATATCGACTAAAATGCCGATTAAGTGGCTGACGTCAAAAAATCTCTGAAGACAGACTTTCTTTGGTAAAATTTATTATTCCGCATTGCTCTTTTGCAGTTCCGAGTCAGCCGCCCTCTAATTTCACAGCTTACAATGAGAGTTCCACCATACTCCTTGCCACTTGGAAACCTGTGCCCAAATGTTGTCGGCTCGGAATTATTCGAGGTTATCATGCAACATTGACAGACCCAAGCAACACTTCGGTGACAATAACAAAAACGGTTATAAGGTCTGGTGTACGGTTCCCGAAGCTGAAAAAGTTTCATACCTATCAGATATCCATTGTCGCATTTACATCTAAAGGAAATGGAGCCAACGTTTCAACGTTAGCGTCTACCGATCAGGATGGTGCGTTAAATTTGTCAAGGGTCATGCAATTTTAAGGCCTTATTAGAAAAACCGAAACCCCATTCAAACCAAAGCTTAAACAGCTGTTTTGTCAAAAACAGCTTGAAATGAGAGGGGTTAGGTTCTGAAGAAACTGTGGTGCTACATCGGTGGGGGAGTATAACAAGATAATTTGGTTTTATCAACTGAATTGATAATGTAAATTGGTCAGCGTAAAGAGTTTTAAAGCTGACGTTTCGAGTGTTAGCCCTTTATCTTTCGCAGTAACGAAGGACTAATGCTTTAAAAGTCAGCTTTTGAACTCTTAAGGGAGGCCAATTTACGTTATCAACTCAGTTGAAATAGTTTTCTTGATAGAAGCTGCTTAAAATTGATGTTTGTAGACTTCCAATTGAGCGCAATGAAAATTAAAGTCATTGATTACTTGAACCTTATACAGAATTGGGTATTTCAGTTTTCTATTGCTGATTTTTATTTATTTAAAACTAGTTTAAGTAATAATGTTAAATAAATCTCTGTCGTCGTATCTACAACTGGGAAACAATCAATGAAAAATTATTGTAGCCTTCTGTTCTCTTCCGTCCTATTTGAGTAGTGGTTTCTACTTTTGAATTGTAAAATTATCTCCCTGGGTCCATTTAGCTTAAAGATGACGTTAGGTTTAATATGCAAAAAAATTCACTTCTATCAGTTTTTGAAAGTGTAAATTATCTTTGGAACCCTTCATTTCAGTTCCAGACGCACCACCACAGACTGTAACCGGTCATAACGTAAGTCAGACAGAGATAAAGTTACTATGGCGGCCGGTTCCTCTAGACAACCTTAACGGAATTTTGATGGGCTATAAAGGATCTTGCCGGATAGCAAAGGGAAACCAGCCTAGTACTGAAAAGCAGTTCAACAGCTCTGTCTCTGAGGGAGTACTAGATGGATTAAACGCTTTTACGACCTACGCATGCAGTGTCAGGGCGTTTACCATCAAAGGCGACGGTCCACCCAGTTCAGATATACTTGTGAAAACTGAGGAGGAAGGTAAGGGAAATCGACATCACCTGATAACTGATGATTTATAGATTCAGAAACGTGGACACAGCCCCATGCATGCTTCATTATGCATACAGTTCCTGGATTAAGAAAACAATGGCAATGGCAATGGCAATGGATACGTTCTTTCTTTCTTTCTATAAGTTCGCACTTTCATTCGATCATTTGTCAATTCGTTCTTTCGATCCTTCATTTGTTCGTGCGTTCTTTTCCTCCCTCATTTGTCCGTTCTTCCTTTTTCCTCCTTCATTTGTTTGTTCTTTTCCTCCTTAATTTGTTTGTATGTCCTTTTCATCCTTGATTTCTTTGTTCTTTTCCTCCTTGATTTGTTTGTTTGTTCTTTTTCTTCTTGATTTATTCGTTTGTTCTTTTCATCCTTGAATTGTTGGTTTGTTCTTTTCCTCCTTGATTTTTCTGTTTGTTCTTTTCTTCCTTAAATTGTTTGTTTGTTTTTCTTTTCCTCCTTGATTTGTTTGTTCTTTTCATCCTTAATTTGTTTTTTTTGTTTGTTCTTTTCATCCTTGTTTTTTTTGTTTGTTCTTTTCCTCCCTGATTTGTTTGTTTGTTCTTTTCCTCCTTGATTTGCTTGTTCTTTCTTTTCCTCCTTTATTTGTTTGTGCTTTCTTTTTCATTTATTCTCTCAGTTCTTTCTCTCCTACCCCGTTTAAAAGTTATTTAATTTGTACTAAACTTTGCTAGGTAGGGTGATTTCAATCATCGAAAATAATCTTAGATTGATTTAGTTTTGAGTTAATTCGCTATGTGATTGGTCCAGAAAACGCGCGCCATCCTCTCAACCAATCAGATTGAAAACTCAGGCAATCGCGACTTGGTCACTAGCGTTTTCCGGCACTTCCAGTGATTTACATTTTTACTTTGCGATCTCATTGGTTCCTTGTAATGAATTGCTTCCCTGTGATTGGCTGTTGTGATTACTCTGGTTTGGTTTTACAACACTCAATCGGAATGTGCTTTACTTAATTTTTTTGGTTCACTTAAACATTTGCACTCACAATGCTTTGTCCTTCCTACAGCACCTCGAGTAGCACCAACAACCTTTCAAGGGATAAATTCAAGTTCAACTTCTATTTCACTGCAGTGGAGTAATATTTCTGCCATGGACGTCGCCGGAGTACTTAGAAACTTTCACATCGCTTATCGCGAATTAGACACAGCTGACAACACCACGCACACCGTAACTGTGCCACTAGCGAACCTAACATTTGAATTAACTGACCTAAGGAAATACACCAACTACAGTATTGAGATTATGGGAGTTACAAAGTTTGTCGGGATAGGCACGGAACCGATAATAGTTTCCACTGATGAAGACAGTGAGTTTAAGCTTTTCCTTTTAATTCCTTGATATACCTCGGTGGACTTTGATTCATTAACAGACAAATGAGTGAATGAATAGATTGATGAAAGAAAGAAGGAAGGAAAAAAGAAACGAGTGAGGAAATAAATGAATGAATAATTATATAATTGAATTGACCATTAGTATACGTGTACCTTGATTCCTTCCTCAGATTAATTTCATTTCGTATCCGTAAAAGTTGCAAAACAAGCCCAAAACTGTATGAGACCTCCACTGCTTTACATGCTACAGAGAGGTCAATCAATAAAAGGGAAAAAAAAGAAGAAAGAGATAAATGATCGAAAACGTGAGCTCACAGAGCAATCCGCGTAAATATAACTGATGACATGGAATTATAAGATGTCTGCTATCATCCGCCTTTATTTCAAAATTTAAGAAGTTCTTACATAACCATCTACCAATAGGTAAGGTTTGACAAAAAATCTCGGGGCAGGTTTTCTTTTCAGGACGATTGACCATAGTGATATAATAAACCAATTAGTATCATTGAGGGTCCAAATTTTGCATTGTGTAGTTCCAAGTCTTCCTCCTCAAGACATCAAGTTGCAAAATTCCAGCTCCACAAGTATATTTGTTCAGTGGAAACCAATCCCTAAACACCACGTTCATGGTAAACTCCTGGGAATCAAGCTTTTATATCGATCTGCACCAAGAGACAACAGCATAGTGTTCAGGTCCCACGCAAGGCGTTCAATCGTGAGCGACTGGTCCGTGTACACCGATATTACTTTACCTCCGAACGCTCTTTCCTATAACATAACGTCTCTCGAGAAATTTACGAACTATTCTGTGGAAATACTGGGTTTCACCTCAAAAGGAGATGGAAATGTTAGTCACAGGTTTATTGTATCTACGGATGAGGATGGTCAGTATGGAAATTATTTATGTTCATCCAGTTGCTACTTACATTTTCCTTATTTAATTCGACTGGAGTGACAGAAACCCTCACGCCAATGACTGGTTGGTCCAATAATTTAGAATATGCACAGTGATTGGCCGCTGATTATAGCCCACAACTGATTGATGTTGAGAAACCTTAAATGCCTTTGTAGCCACTCAGCTAAGTTGTAAATTGCCTTAAAGCACAACGGATTTAGCTTGAGTGGTGCATGGAACTAGTCAATTCATATTTGAAAGGGTTTTTTCATGGTCGTTTTCCCACATTTTATAAATTCACCGAAAAGAAAATCGGCAAAATCAAGGTATTAACTACTGTTACAGAACAATCCAACACTAATAACCGCAATTACCTTCGTTCACTCTAGAGTTCTGATCGTCATTGTTTATGTTTGAAATATTTTTGCAGTTCCTAGTATGCCGCCAGCGTCTCTTACTCCCATATCCCGCAGTGGGGACTTCAAAATGGATGTCAGTTGGGAACCAGTGCCGGATGGTTTTGTACATGGAATTCTGTTGGGATACCGCATTTACTATAGAAAGGTGCAAGAGTTAGGAAGAGCCTCTACCTCTGAGACGGAGGCTGTGTCTGTTGGACCTTTTGAACAGAACACCACAGTAACGATGCTGAAAAACTTTGCAGTTTATGATTTGCAAATTGCAGCTTTCACGATCAAAGGAGTAGGAGTGTTGACCGATATCAAAGATGGATGTAAGTTCTCGTTTTGGTGATATACATTGACTGACAACATACCCGCTGAAAAAAAAAGCGGGGAAAGGGAGAGTCAAACTTGTAAAAAGAGGTTACCAAAAGTACACATGATCCAGACTTTTAAGTTTAGTCGTCAAAACAGGAAACTGAGATGTGCAACTCATAAGCCATAAGCGCCCAGTTTCTTTATTTTCCAAACTTATCTTCATATATTTAGTCACCAACCACTTTTCTCGTCATCCAAAGAAATAATGCATTTCTTTTGTGGCAACTCTTTTGCGTTGATCTGTCGGTTGAAAACCTTTTGACGGCAAGGAAATTCCGAAGTGTTTATAATGTGCTTAATTGCTTTTCAGCGACTTGCAGGTGCCCCCGAGAGTTTAAAACGACCTGGTACCCGTTCCCCCCGTATATCGCATACGAAAACGGCACCGTGGGCGGCTTCATCCCACGAATCCTGGAGGGGGCGGTGGAATATTGCTGCAGTGACTGTGTCCTCGCCAATGGCAAACCTGCAACTACTATCGACTTTGTGCTTGACGGAAAGGGAGACCTCGCGCAGAAGAGTGGCGTCGAGGCTCTGATTAGCAGCATCGATTCACAGACCGATTTCAGTACGCCAGTGAATGGGTTCCACGGGCAGACACATTACTCTCTGTACAGATACGTCAAACTAGCAGAGTCCCCCGGAGTGGGTTTCATCACTGTGATGAATCCACACGAAAAAGCCGTCGCAATCGCAAATGTTTTTATTCGGTCATGGCCGCTGCTCCTCCTCTCCACAATCATGATGGTCGCAGTTGGAATTATAATGTGGTTGCTGGTATGTAGAGCCATATAAGGCTCGTTTGAGAAATTACTTTTAAGGTGGCTCTTAACAGTACTGGAATGAATGTCTGTAGAAATACGCCAGTGACTGTGCTCTGATTCTGTCTTAGCTGTTTAAATCCCTTGTTTTTTATACTCATAACATTACTCTCTATTATGATAAAGTATAATAAAACTGTCGCAGAGTTTTATTTTTTTACTTTCACCAACCAATCTGATGTATCTGACTTTCATCCTACATAAACAATAGAGACCTCATTAACAAAAAAATGCAAGATATATTTTCCTTCAGGACGCCCGATCTAACAGTCAAGAGTTCCCAGGCTCTTTCACCCGAGGGGCCCCTGAGGGACTTTGGTGGGCCTTTGTTACATCGACGACTGTGGGGTAAGGCGAGTTTATCAACAATTCGTACGTGTCTTTACATACCACAGCTGATAAAGTTGTCGGACCTGATAAGTCAACTTTTGTTTTCGTTAACTGTGGCCGCGTCGCTTCTTCTAACCAGAAATGAAAATTTATTTTTAAATGGGTCATGTCTTATATACCTCATCGCCCATTACTATCTGAACTTTTTTCTTAACATAGAGCAACTTAGAGTGTTGCTTCCCTCCCTTGATAGTGGAGTGGGTATGGTGCAGATGTGAGAGCGCTCGCAACCCTCTGCTATGGCCCGGGTTTGATTCTGAGAACTGGCGTCACATATGGGTTGACATCCGTGTATACTCTTGGATGGAGGCATGTGTCTTACTCAAGTAGCGGCAAGTGGACAATGATGATAACCAGATTCGAACCCAGACCACTTCATCCCTCCCGGAATTATTATTCTGTAATTAGGTGAATAGAATAAATCGAACCTAGGAGTAGAGTCACGATCCGAAGAGTAGTTGTTCGTCCACTGATACCTTGAAATTTGGCTCTTGTGCAGGTATGGTGACCGCTGTCCGAGAGGAGTGTTTGCTCGCTTATTTGCAATTTCTTGGACATTGAGTGGTTTGGTGGTTATTGCCATTTTAACTGGAAGAGTCGCCACAGTTCTCACGGAATTTGGTTATAAAGGGCCCTACATACAACTCTATGGTGCAGAGGTTAGTCATTTGGTCAAAATTACAGAGTTGGGTTAGTGTGCTCGATAATTAACAACTCGTATTAGTCGATAAAAGTGCACAACAAAGACAGCCTTGCCTCTTTCAAAATTATAACCTGAAAAACCAGGTGCTGGGTGTTTTAGTTTGTCTTGTATAGCCTGTCCGCAGGCCCTCATGGGTAGCGCTTCGGGAAGATCATTTCTTCGAAATTGTGAGGCCTTAGGCAACGCGAGCCGGGGAGAAGTTTGCGGGGGTCTGGCACTATCAGTGCCAGACCCCCGCAAACCTCTCCCCGACTCCGGTGACCCGTCTCAAAACTTGGGCGGAGAAACGCACATCTTGCAGCGCTGATAATGAGGGCGTGCTTCAAAGCTATGCCTTGAAATCCTCCGCTCTGACATATGAAATAAGAAATTAGCAAAATTAATCTCTTAGATAAATTATTCTTTGTTTGCCCATATATAATTTCATTTCTTTTGCTGACAATACATTTTGGCCTCTAGGTAGCAGCTATTGCGAACAATTCTGATTTTCGACTAGGTGTGCGGAAGAATGCACGGATGAACACAGGTAAATATTCGTTTCAAGGAACAAAGTCTTTTCAGGTTCATTTTTTTCTCGAAGTTGTTCATTCTACGTTAGAAAAACAATTGAAGAAACGTCTGCAGTGTACCTTTCGCATTAAGTCCTTCTCTGAGTTTGAGTTTTCTTTCAGCTTGTCCCCGTGATACCTTTGATCTTCACTAACTTCACAATTTCCTCCTTAAAATTTTCTAGTCCGTAACTACAAGAGTTATGAGCAAATTAGCCGTGCTTTGGCAGACCAGGAAGTAAAAGGCGCTTTGGTGGACCTTTATGTGCTGTCCTCTCACAACCACTTGTTTAATGACCCTCGCTTCAGGATCGTTCGGATATACGATTTCAAGACCAGTTATGGGGTGGTCCTTGCAGGGAACTCTATGAAGCTGGAGCAGTGTTTTACCGAGCATATCAAGGCTTACTCAGGCAGTGTTTTCCAGAAAATTGAAGACAATATCAAGTTTCTCAGGGTACGACTGCATGAAAATTTTAGCTTTTGTGAGAGCCCCCTAGAAGTTAGTTAGTTAGAGGGGTCCATGTTCCTTACTTCCTTCTTTTGCAATAGTCCACCGAATACAATTTTACATTTTTCATAAACTTTAGCTTTTCAATTACCCCTGATCACAGAAATTGTTCCAATTTTCCTTCCTGACTCTTCAGGTATGTTCTCCTCCATTTCTGAATGCTACTCATCCAAACTCTTCCAAGCTTAGACAAGTGTAACAAACTGATCAATTTTTTTCTTTCTTTCTTCTCTAAAAAAAGCTTGGCTCCAGGCCTCGATCCACTATTCAGAATCTTATAACAAGAGAATATAAATGAAACATTGTGCGGTTGAAATATGAAATCAATGATGGGCAACCTTTCTTGTCAGATACTGACTTCGCAAGTTGCCCTATTCGATGAAGGTTATTATCGAAAAACAAACACTTCGTAAAGGCGCGTTCGATATGACGTGGTAAACGGGTTTTGTTGTTTTGTTGTTTGTTTGTTTTTAGGAACCAGATCATAGCCCGGCCGAGCAAAATTCTACAGAGCTGTTCAGTATCACCTCTCCACAGTTCATCATCGCCGTCTCGATCATCGGGTCACTGTTGATATTAGCTTGTGTGCTCGGAGTTGTCTACGAAAGGCGACGAAAGAAACCTGAAGGTTAGTTTTGATCCAAAAAATTCTATGACGAGTTGTACGGATGAGCTAAATAATACACGCATTTTGATGATCTATAGGAAGACAGTCGCCTCTACAACGTCAACAAGTTTTTGCTTACTCCCGGCTTATATCACCACGATTATTCGTTAGAATGATCAAGAACCTTGTGTCCATAACAACGTAACATTTTTTAATGATGAACCTTTCTGACTTTTTGCAGTTTTAATTAAAAGCAAGGACCTTAAGAACGAGATGTCGCAAGTTTTACACAGATTTATTGCCAGATTAAAGGAAAAGCTAGAAGTGATTTCAAAGCGGCACAGGGCAGAGAGATTTCACCTAAAGCACACAGAAAGAGAGCGAGACCAGCAAGCAGCGAGTACAGTACAGAAGTGTTACGAAGTACTGAGCTTGCGTGACATCCGACAAGAATGGTCCCCACGCGACGGAACTGTCAGAAGTGTTACACCATCGTTGCCTAGCACAAACTTGTACAATCTAAGGCCGAGGCTATTTAGTGAGGCGAGATGTGATTCGTCTCCCAATGTTGTAACAAGTCGGAAACTTCCGTTAAGGAGAAAATCCGGGTTTAACCTTCCTGTCCCACTAGAGCCAGAAGTTCGCATTATGGATCAAACAAACCTTTAGATGTTCTTTGTAACAAGCTTTTTTCATTCATGCCCGTAGAGGCAAAAACGTTTCCCCAAAAATGTTCCAAAATGGGCAAAATGGCATGAGAATTTGTTCTAGAGCTTATTAAAACTTTCTAGGAAAAGATCCCCCGGACCCCGACCCGGCCCACTGTAATACATTACGATCGCTACAACTGCCAGGTCCCCTCACTTCAAAAATACGTTCCTACCGACAATATGTTTGTTCCCGCTCGGGCCAATCACCTGTTTCGATGACGCGTCATGCGTGATAGGAAACTTGGCGTTGTAAAACGAGAGAAATATGCTTGTCTCCTGACAAAAACAATTTTTTTCTCTGATGGTAACTTTTATGGTCTCCTGTAAAGAGATGGCTGAATGAGAGGGTACACTGCAAGAAACATTAACATTAAATTGTTCAAAGCTGGGTTAAGATAACTTGGGGTTAGTGTGAAATTTGATTTTAGATCTGAAAGCTCGAAGAGCCAATTCAGTTTATTTCTTTTTTACTACAATTAGATAAGTGAATGCTCTAAAAAGCAATGGGTAAAATTATTCCAAAACGGCTTTTGAACAGAGAAATATATAAACCTGGATTGAAATTAAACCCTGGGTTAGCGCTAATCGGCCCTTGAACAACTGGGCCCAGATGTCTAAAATTTAAAGCCGCACCGTAATTGCCGAAGTAAATACTATTACGGCTATCAAAAACTTCATCTTTTACGGCAACAGGATTAAAACTGAAATAAGAGGTGTAAATTATAAATCTTGCTCTTGGTTTATGGATAAAAACGACCTCAAAACTGTGAATTAACATAGTCAGTGAATTAGTCATGTTAGTAGCGAACTCGAACGTACCGCTGGAAATCGACAAGTAGTGCCGGAAACGGGCGTGAATCAGAACAAGTTTCTCTCGCTAGTGATAACTGATTAATCTAAAACCACTTTACATCGAGCGCGCTGAAAGATACGCATGCCACGTAGTACTTCATTGAATATCCTTTGTTCTGTGTTGTGGTCAAAAATTGACAAACATAAGCTCTCGCTATTGTGTGAATAGTTCTCAGGTTGTTCCGCAATGCACACTGAAATTAACATACGACGCTTTCACTATTATGTAATAGTTCTGAAAATACTTTCGACAATGTTCCGATCGCTTCTCTTCTCTCAGATCACACGAAAATATATATAATAAATGTGGAACGAACTGACTTTTTTGTGGAACGAACTGACTATTTTTGGAACAATCCGACTTGGAACGATCTGACTATGGAACGAAATGACCGTAAACCGACAGACAGAATGAGGGTTATGAATAAGCTCTGAAAATTGCAATTTTTACGAAAGTTACTAGTGGAATGGTCGCAGCTAGCGGCCACTGAGTTGCAAGCCTCATCTCCCTTTCTTCTCTTAACGGCCTCTAGTCAAAAGTAATTTCGTAAAAAGACGTTCTTTTCTTCCTCAAGATGATCATCTCACACCTGGAGCTTGGGCTGCCTGTGGTCTTAAGTCAAGCCCTTTTTACAGTTCCCGGCGCCATATTGGAATAATAATCACGTTCACGTTTCACGTTCTAATGCACTTTTCAATGCGATTTCTCCCTTCAAAATGGTTCTTTAATACAATACTATGGAAATTTCGTCATTAGGTGACATCCAGAAACTCGAAGCAAAAGATCTCGGGGAGATTTTAAAATCTAATTCAAAATCGACGGGCGGAATTAGAGCCGACTTAGTGTCAAAAGTTTATGCTTTGCTGATGTGACACGTCCTTTCATCAAGTAGTGGAGAAAACCGAGAACTTCTTACAGATGCCCAGGACCTAGAACAAAACCAGAGCGACTTCAAATACTAAGCAACTGTGGTAAGGATTTCAGCCCTTGGATGGTCGAGCGATCTCCGTAATTTACCTGAGA